TTTTTTTTTTTTTTTTTTTTTTTTAGCGCTTACTGAAAAATACTTGAAAAATATAAATGTCGAAAGGAAAAAATCTGGAGGAGGGAAGGTGGGGGAGAGGAAAGGAAGGAGAAGGGGGGGATGCTGTGCGGGAGCTGCGGAGCGGGGACCGGCCCGGCCCTCGGGGGGCCGCGGGTGCAGCCCCGGGAGCGGGGTTGGGGGGGAGCCCGGCCCTGCCCGGCGGCCCCGGGGGCTCGGGGGGTGCGCACACACACACGGACAGACAGACAGACACACACACACGGACCCCCCGCCCGTGGGGACAACACAGCCCCGGGCTGGGAGCGACAGGGGGAGAGGGGGCGGGTGCAGCTCAGCACTTCCCTGCGCCCGAAAAACGGCGTTTGCATTATAGTGACTTTGTTTTGGTGGTTGAGGGTTTGTTTTTTTTTGTTTCTCTCCCTGTTTTGTTTTGTCGGTGATTATTATGATTATTTTTTCTTTCTTCTCCACCCCCCCCTCCACCCCCCGCCGCCCTCCCCCGTAGAAAAGCTTTTCCACAAATCCAGCATCTCCCTGCGACGCGGAAAGAAGCTCAGCGTGAACCAAATGCGGGCGTTTTTCTGTCCTCTTCCCTCCCTCCCTTCCTCCCTCCCCCCCCGACACCTCATTCCTCTTCACTATCGAAACAAAATACAGAGAAACCGATTTCCGAAGCGAAAGCGCAGAAGGATAAAGGTGTTTTACTACAGACCTCTCAGTCTGGCGCTGATCAAAAAGCCCAACTCATCTTCGGAAAGAAAAAGACTGGCAAATGCCACGGGTTTGGTTGTGACGCTTAATTTCGAGTAATTCTCCTAGAAATAATGATTTTATATATATATATATAATTTTTTTTTCCTTGTGAGAAGAAGGGAGGGGGGAGGTCAGGCTTGTGACCCGACCGTTTTACGGTGTTGGGAAGTTCTTGAAAAGGAAGAAAAAAGCTGCAACAAATAAGCCTGTTCTTCACATCGGTGCGGGGCTCCGCGGGCGCGGAGGGAGCCCCATCTCCTCGGGGGGGTGAGGAAGGGCCGCGGCCGCCCTGCCCCGGCCCCGCTGGGTGACACTGCCGCTGCTTGGGGAAGGGAGGAACGTTTGGACTGCTCAATTCGATACAAATTAGGTCACAAATATTGTGTACAGTTTGTAGTAAAACACCTCAGACATTTAAAAACGCTATATAAGTCTTTAAAAATGCAAAACTAGTCTATTGTAAAACAGATTCACCTGAAATACAGCTGATATAACCAAGGCGCTGGAAGGTTATTCATAGGCACACATCTGTCTTTCCTTTTCTGTCGGGTCTTTCGTTTTTTTTTTTTTTTTATCTTTTTTTT